TTTTCTAGCTGTGGAAATGAGAACCGGTCCCAGAAACCTCATCACAAAATGACACAGACATTGGTGTGGTAGATCCATGATGGTTTTCTTCCCTGGGGGTAGGGGGTAACAGAATGTTCATTTGAATGAATTATAAACAAGTAGCGGACATCAAAAACGGGGCAAGACTCAACAGTATAGAATCACAGAATCATAGAAGTAGGATCGTCTCGTCTAACCCTATGCAGTTCAGGAATCACAGCTAAAGAATCCCTGACAGATTTAGGGCAAGTCACATAATGCATAGATATTTTCTCCAACACCTCACCATTGCTCCTCAGTGCCCCCACTTCCTGCAACTGCCACCTTATTCTGCTTTGTGTTGGTAGTGGCAAAATTCAGGTAGAAGTACCTTCCAAGAGTAGAGACCTCCATGCATGGAGGGCCATTGCCTGTTTTGGAGCATTTATTGCAGCCTCTGTGCCCTATCCCATGCTGTTCTGGAGAAGCTTTGGGGTCATGGAAGGGACTGTCAGTGGTGGGGCTTGCAAGGAGAGCATGGGATTGCTCCCCTTTGCCAAGTTTATTTCTGGTCATGGTTCCTTGTATCCAACTTGTCAACACTGTGGTGGTTATTCTTTTTGAAAAATGTTTTTATGGTGCCCGAGGACCCTGCTATTTTTATAAGAATGTAGGCTATACACAACAACCATTTAAGATCTTTTTTTTTTAATCATCTGAATCCTTTTCACCCACATCTGAATCCTCTTCACCCAAGATACGCAACCATTGTGTATGCTTATGTTCCAGCCATATAGCAGAACCAGCTACATATATTTAACTCCCACAGATCGCACAATTCAGAGCACAATGGTGACACAATAAGCAAGAGGGAAGCGAGAGCAGATAACACAACACATTGAGCCAACCTGAAGAGCACAAGTCGAATCATAGACATACAACGTATCAGTGATGAATCAATACATTCCTGTACCCATTTCAACAAAGAAACAAACAGAAAGAAACTGAAACGGTATCTCTCGAATATGGCACAAAGGAGACAATTGAAGCAAGAGACAAATACACAGCATTTAAGTGCTATTTAAATATTTCAAGATGGTTTTAAAAAATATTTACAGATTAATGTGAAAATGGAGCCGAACAGAATGCGAAAAAACTTGCAAAAGTACTGTAAAAAATAGGCAGATCTGCCCATCCGAGTTTCATTTAGCTACTAAGGCTAAGACCCTTTGATAAAGCTGTGCTTCAAGAATGTGTTTCGCCCTTTTGTGAAACTATCTAGCTTGCTAGCTATCACTATCAGATCTTGGGGAAGTGGATTCCATAAACTGATTATGCATCGTGTGTCCTGAACCTGCTGCCACTCAATTTTATTTGGTGACCCTATATTCTAGCATTATGAGAGAAGGAGAACAAATGTAGAGGGGGCAGGAAGGTTGTTTTGACAGCTCTAGTGTCAATATGCATTTCATATCTTAGTATTTTATGGATGAAAGCAATGTCTTTCAACTTTGAGCAAAGAAATATCAAAGAAACAGAAGATTTGAGAGTTCCCAAGTGTGGAAGAAGCACAATTAGGAGCAGCATTAGAGTCTCTTACCTGCTAACAACTCTGGAAACTCTTACCTTTCCTCTTTCATTTGCCGATATTTTCTTCAGAAATACCATATCAATGTAATTATGACACTTCTAAAACCACCGAAGCTCAACTGCGACGTACCTAGTAATCATGTCATGAGAACCTTTGCCTCTTCATTCTCCATAGCGTTACACAACAAAAGGTTCAGTCCAGCCAATTACCACTGAGAAAATAGGGCGAGACTTCTCCTAGATTTAAATGAAACCTTTATTCATACACTTGTGGTCAAATTTATTGTCCAAATGTTGATGGACTACAACTCCCATGACCCCCCACTCACCTGGGGGGTGCCACATGTGAAGCTACATAACCTGCACTTTCCATAAAAAGACGTAAACCGAAAAGCAGCCATTCATTAATGTTCACACTGCTGTGAATTTTGCGATGCAGTTTCCCAACGTGGGCAAAGGAGTATAAATGCATATTTTGGTGAAAATAACATGGGGAAATACATTCTATTATGGAAAATTGCTTCTAAAATGAGTATATTAGGCAAAATTGCATACAAAAAAATGTGTGTATTAGGAGAAACGTACACTAAAAGATTAGCAATATTGCAAAGCAATATAGAAATGTAGAGGACTGAACTTGGATAAATGACAAATTCATCCATTCCTAACCCCAATCAACATGGCCAGTGATCAGGGATGATGGGAGTTGGAGCCCAGCAACATATGGATGACACCAGGCTGGAGAAGTCTGGCATAAAGTTATGATATTGCTATAATTTACTTTGATCTCCAATCACAAATCAGGACCTTGTAAGTGGTGTGTGGATGTGTGTGTAGGTTACCAAGCTGTTGTGTTGTAACTTTCCCATTCCTGTGACAGAAAGAAATGCTTCCCCTTCTGAAATCTTTAGCAATCAGGAAATGGGAAGAAATTATGCCCTCCCCAAAATCTTTATTTCCACTCTCTCGGTGTTGCAATTAAGTCTGAGAAAGGGGCCAAGGCAGCACACTCAGACCTTCCCAAGAGAACCTCTCTGTGCTCTTTTCTTGCTTTCCGTGTCCTGGCTCCTTGTGTCGTAGCGATAATCTCTGTCGCTTTGTTGAATCTTCACAATAAATGGCCTTTGAGATTGATTAAAAACCCTCTGCTCAGTTCTGGCTCAGCATCGATTTCAACCGTTGCTGCTTCTAGCTTTATGTGCTGTACATCATAGAAATCAGAGATGGAAAAGACCTATTAGGTCCCATCTGGTTCGCCTCCCCTCCCTCCTCCTCTCTGCATGGGCCAGCAGTTTCTCCTTGCCCTGCCTGATAAATTCAACCCATCTCTCTCTAGTCTATCCTGAGCTGCTGTTTGTGGACATTATTCCAAACCTGTAAGGAAATGTCTGCATTGGTGGGCAGATTCGCTTTTGTGCTGCTATTTCTGGTGTCTTTGTTTATTTATATTTTGTTTCTCACAGGAAAGTTGAGCGCTTCCTTGTTGCCAGGCTGACTGCAGCTACAGATATGAAAGGTGCCTTCCCCCTTTTCTTGCAGAGTGTTGAAGGATGCAAGGGAGGGGCATTTCTGTTCATGAGTGTGAATAAATCCTTGACCTACTACCACATCTGCTAAAACAGATTTTTGCAAGTTCATGCTGTGATTCAAAAACCTGCCAACACTGTTGGGTCAGAGATGACAGTGTTACCCAGAAGCATCAAAGGAAAGTATCCAAACTGGGGATCGGAAGATGGCTGAGGGTCCCGGTCCAAAATGGCTTGTGCTGGTAGTAGGGCTTTCACTTCAACAGCATCCAGCCATCATGTTGGCTTCCCCAAAATGGGGCCCATGGGGGTGGCCACTTGCACATCGTGAGAAGCAATTAATCAATATACAAAGTAAATAACAAGTTAAAATTTAATTAAAAAGAGGACACAGATTTATGTGCATGAATCCAAATTCAGATAAATATAGGTTATGCTTCACTTTTTTCCATTCTGACGTCTTAAATATCCCTGTGCAAGATTATCCAAAATACAGGAAATTCTTCTAAAAGTTAGGGACTAGCATCACCCTGGGCAGCAGATCCTTACCTTAATGAATTAACTTAAATTCACTCTTACCTGGACATCTGCTTGGCTGACTTCAGTCATTTTAAAAGCTTGTTCACAGATGCCAGAGCCAGAGGTTACTCATCTCTTGGGGAGCATATTTGATTCCCCCCCATCCTATGTCTCTTTACTTGGATGTAAGTACCACTTTGTCCAGTGGGGCTTACTCCCTGGTAAGCATGCATAAGATTTCAGTGTTAATGTGTGAATATAGAATATAGTTAGTTCTCATTCTGGGACAAATTTGGTTTTGTGTGCATCAACTGTGTGGATTTCAAAATAACTAATGCTGATTTACACTAATTTTGTCGAGATGGGCATCTATTCTGTAGCACGGGAAATTAGCAGGAGCAAATATAAAATGCTGCATGGGGTAAGTTTTATAACTGAGCTCAGAGGAAAGGATGCAAAAACTCAGCACCGGGTGGCAAGAATTCAGCATTCAATAACCCAAATTGGAAACAGACTGATATCTTCCAACATTTGATAGAAGGAAATTGGTACACTTGGTTGTTAAATGAGCAAACCGTTTGTACATTAGTGAGAGAGCAAAGTGAACAAACAGGTTTTCCCCCAGGTGTTGAAGGCAAGGGAAAGAAACATCTGCAAGACAGAGGATTATTAAAATGTCAGCCTAAAAGTACAAACAGGATCCCTCTGACACATGATCTTTAAGATCAACCAAGTGCGGCTTAATGACGAACGTCAACTCACCATGCTTCTTGGAGGTGTAAGATGTAATCTTTACATGCAGGATGGTGATCAAATTGTTTAATTGAGAACAAACTCTAACACAGAAAAGCCCAAGCAAAAACTGCAGCTGCTCCCCACCCACACACCTAGGCTCCTGAGCTCCCAGGTTTTGTGTAAATCCTGGACTGGAACTACTCTGTTTAAAATATGGAGCAGAATCCCTAATATTATAATATCTACAGGAAATATGTACGCCCTTTCTGTTAGTTCTGATATTTGTTGGATGACTATGGGTATATAATAATGATCACTTTAAGCTTAGCACATTTTATAGCATAGATGCATTATCTATGTTAAATCTCTGTTTCCCCATCCTGAGATGTTTTGGAGCATACATCTAAAATAATTAAATAGATGTGGTCACATCCAAGATGCAAGCAGGTTGTTTTATGCAAACTGCTTAAAGATGTTAACAATTAAGCAGTATACAAATCATGTGAAGTAAAAACAAAAATAAAGTAAATGAATTCTTTAAAGAGAGGGAACAGACTTAGGCCCAGAACTTCAGCATTTAATTATTGGCTGGGTCTTTTGAGCTGTGTTGAATTTGAGGCTGGTAGGCGAAGGACTGTGGTTCAGTGGCAGAGCTCTGCTTTGCATGCAAAAGGTCACAGGTTCAATCCCTGGCAACTCCTGGTAGAGCTGGGAGAGATTCCTGTCTGAAATGCCGTAGGGCTGCTGCCAGTCAGTGACGAGACCATATTGAGGCAGATCGATCAGTGGTCTGGCTCAGTCTAATACAACTTCCTGTGTTCTAGGGACTAAGTGAGGACTTCCAATCAATACAACAGCAAAAGTGATTCTTTTTGTTAATGCTTAGTATTGTCTACACTGACTGGAAGGGGTCTTGGGGTCTTTTCAAGCCCTTCCTGGTGATGCTGGAGATTTAACCTGGAACCTTAATAATAATAATAATAATAATAATAATAATAATAATAATTTATTTATACCCCGCCCATCTGGCTGTGTTTCCCCAGCCACTCAGCTCCCAACAGAATATTAAAAACATGATAAAACATAATGGTATTGGGAATAAACAACAGAGAAAAATGCAGGAACAAGAATAAAAGATTTCCTCCCTCTGGCCAGAACATGGGAAGTCCTCTTTAAATTATTTAATTTGAAATGTATAACTGGCTTTATTATTGGTGTTATGGTGTGGTATGATTTGATATGTTATTAACTGGAATATTATTAATGGAAAATTAATAAAAATAATTTAAAAAACATGATAAAACATCAGATATTAAAAACTTCCCTAAACAGGGCTGCCTTCAGATGTCTTTTAAAAGTCAGTTGTTTGTTTCCTTGACATCTGATGGGAGGGTGTTCCACAGAGCGGGTGCCACTACCGAGAAGGCCCACTGCCGGGTTCCCTGTAACCTCACTCCTTGCAGTGAGGGAGCTGCCAGAAGGCCCTCGGCGCTGGACCTCAGTGTCTGGGCAGAACGATGGGGGTGGAGACGCTCCTTCAGATACAGTGGTACCTCAGGTTAAGTACTTAATTCATTCCAGAGGTCCGCTCTTAACCTGAAACTGTTCTTAACCTGAAGCACCACTTTAGCTAATGGGGCCTCCTGCTGCTGTCGCGCCGCCAGAGCACGATCCTGAAGCAAAGTTCTTAACCTGAACCAAAGTTCTTAACCTGAAGCACTATTTCTGGGTTAGCAGAGTGTGTAACCTGAAGTGTATGTAACCTGAAGCGTATGTAACCCGAGGTACCACTGTATACTGGACCGAGGCCGTTTAAGGCTTTAAAGGTCAGCACCAACACTTTGAATTGTGCTCGGAAATGTACTGGGAGCCAATGTAGGTCTTTCAGGGCCGGTATTATGTGGTCTCAGCGGCCGCCCCCAGTCACCAGTCTAGCTGCCACATTCTGGATTAGCTGTAGTTTCTGGGTCATCTTCAAAGGTAGCCCCATGTAAAGCACATTGCAGAAGTCCAAGCGGGAGATAACCAGAGCATGCACCAGTCTGGTGAGACAGTCCGCGGGCAGGTAGGGTCTCAGCTGGTGGAAAGCAGATGCTCTGCCATTGGGCACAAGAATATCTTAGATCCATAATATGCATGATCAAGTTGGCTTATTTTGCAGTGTTTCATTCATGCGTTCATGCACATCTAGAAACAAAGGTGGGGGTGGGGGTGGGAATGATCTGAAGGAATGGATAGTTGCAGCATGCTATTCTACTGGTATAATTAAATCAAGGAAGTTGTTGTTGCTGTTGTTGAATTTCTACCCTGCCCATCTGACCAGGTTGCCCCAGTCACTCTGGGTGTCTTCCAACAAATATAGTTAAAACTGGAATGCAGGAGGAATGGCTGGAGGAATAGAATGGGAAAAATCTGCTCATCCCTGGTTATTGGCTTTCATTTTCACATGGAGTTATGAGGAGAACCTTGTTTCAGGCTAACATATTGGCTGAAGATCCAATGCTGTTTTTATTAGCAGCCTGTGAAATGCTTTCCAGAATTACCAAGTCTGGATGTGACATTTTTCTTCTTCTTCATTTACATGGCATTATAACAGATTCAACTTAATAAATTAAATTTGACAGATGATTAGTCCATAATGTGGTGCAATCACTTCTGGTATTTGAAAGAAAAATGGAAAATGGACAGGGTATTTAACTCTGACAGATCTGCTCTGTGTATGATGGGCAGTGCCTTTAGCCTCAAAGACATTAGGACATCAGGAAGGATGCACAGAATAATTATATCTCCATTCCCACATAAGGGTCTAGTGAACAAAGCTGGTGGCTGGAACGATAAAAAAGAGACCTGGATCAGAATGAAAGAAGATTCTTCTGAAAGAAGATTCTTACGAGGGTGTGGTTGTGGGTTGATCCTGATGTTCCTAATGAAGTCCTGATTCCCAACATCTTGTGAATAATATTAATTTTCAAAGGACTTTTTACTTTATAGGAATGTACATTTGTTCTAAGATTTATATATGCATTTTTTTAAGCTACCCAAGCAGCATATATCATTCTACTTTGGGATGAGAACCAGACTATTATACTAATAACTAGTCTTAAGCTAAAACACCCCGATGTTGTCTGGAACACACTAGAAACAGAAATGGAAGAATCAAAAATTTACATGGGTTTAACCATTGTGGTGTAGTGGTTAGAATGTAGGGCTAGGACCTTGGAGACCCGAGTTCAAATACCTGCTCAGCCATGAAGCTCCCTGGATGACCTTGGGCCTGTCACCATATCTCGAGTTCCTTGGAGGAAAAGGTGGGATAGAAATGTAACAATAAATAAATAAAATTGCGGTAAATTACTGTGTAGCAGGTGCAGTACTGTCACTGTGGCTATGGGAGAAGCAGTACTGTATTGGGGTGTTAATGATGTGAAGCCCTCCATCACAGGCTCAGGGTGTGTGTGTGTGTGTGTGTGTGTGTGTGTGTAAATAAACCATATATCCTAAAGACACCACAGTCTCCACTCTGCCTCATTCCAAAAGGAAACGTGAACCCTGGGCGAGTGCCTGGAACTGCTGGAATCTTGCGCAGCTTGGAGATTGGGGCATAGTGCAAAATTATTTTATTGGTTTTTTATGACATTGATTGCAAACCATTTTATGAACCGAAAGAACACATAAGAAGAGTCCTGTTGGATCAGGTCACTGGCCCATCTAGTCCAGTAGTGGCCCATGGGAAGTCTGCCAGCAGAACCTGAGAGCAACAGCACTCGGTCCACCTGCAGTTCCCAGCAGCTGGTTTTCAGAGGTATACTGGCTCCAGCCATGGGTGCAGAATACAACCATCATGGCTGGTAGCTATTGAAAGCCATATCCTCTATGAATTTGTCTAATCCTCTTTTAAAGCCATCCAAGTTGGTGACCATCACCACTGCTTGTGGGGGCAAATTCCATAGTTTAACTATGAGCCTCATTGGATGTCTCTTGATCCAATTTACCCATGCCATTCTGAATGTTATGCTTGTCTATCGTGTCCCCTCTTACTTGATTTTTTTTCTCAACTAAAAGTCCCAAATGTTCTAAGCTTTCTTCATAGGGCAATGGCTCCATCCCCTTGATCATTTTGGGTTCCATGCCCTTTTCCAAACCTTTCAAAAACAATCCATCCCTATTTGGATGTAATATGTGGGGTATGAGTATTTCTTATAAACTATAAATAAAGACTCTGTCTCTCAGCTACGCAGCTCTCTAAGCAATTGCCTAGTCACTTCCATGGAAACATTGCTTCTCCATATATCCATGCATGCATGGTGGCATGCATTCAAAATCTGGATGAATACAAACTGTAAACTCACAAATAGCTCCTAATAATAATAATAAAATACTTATTTGATTCCTCTCCCCTTTAGATGAGTCTAGTTTTAGAAGAAACAATACAGACCGCTTCTTTCCCAAATCAACCGAGTAAGGTTATTGTGTTAAGGCACGACCGGACACATCACCCATTGGTGCACTATGGTTATTTATGAACCCATTGATCAGTATGTTGAAAGCACAGTCTTGGATAGTAGGAACTTTGGGCTTATGACTCCCAAGGAACATCAATATTGAACTTCTTTTACAGGGTTAGGGGAAAGGTTGGTGGTTGTGACAGCTGCTTTGGGGTTGGCAAGGAGAGTAGAAACTAGTGGAAGAACTTAGGTTTCTTTAGTTTCAAGTTGTTATTTAATGACTACTTCCAGCCTACTTGATAAGGATGCTGTCTATGAACATTTAATAATGAAACATTCAGTTTTGCTGCCAGAACGTCTATTGATTTGTAGAAAAATCCAAGAACAAGAGAGTGGGAAACTGAATAAATAAGAAAAGGTTGATCAACCTAAACTTTGCTGATTCCCAGTCTCTTCTCCAGAGAGTAAAGAACATCTAAATTTAAAGCATCAGATTTTTGTATATGCTGTACAAATTTCTTCTTTAACCTTACACTAAACACTTTGGCAGACAGAAGACTCTTGTTAGAATTCTGAGAGTCAACACTTGTTTATCAGATATGCTTAAAAAACAAACCAAAGCATGGCGAAACTAAGAAAGAAAATGGCAAAAACAATGTAGAGATTTGATCCCATACTTCTGAGGATTACGGCTGAATCCGAACTCCCTTTGAGTTGGGCTGGATCCGTCAGAGGTGTCCCTCTCCCTGACCTGCTGCCCTCCACCTGTGGAGTGCTGTCAGTGCCACTCCACAAGTGTAGGACTCCCCATTCTGCCAGCCAAACATGTGGGCAGAAGTACTGCTGACAGTAGGCTGCGGAAAGCCTCCAAATCAGGTGTTCCTGGTATGGGGAGAGAGAGGGGTGAGCCAGCCTGGGATTCACTGGACCCTGAGCCAGCCACACTGCTGTCATTTAACATCATCAGACTCAAATGGGACTTGAACACTGCACCAGCTGCAGGCTGGCATAGTGACTTGCCTGCACCCACCTTCCACTCATAGCATGAGCAACATGGGATAACTCCACCACGCCATCATACCCCACCAATGCCCAGCAACTTGTCGAAGCACAGGCATGCTACACTGGCCCTTAAGGGACTGCACTGACTGTCAATACATTTCCTGTCTGAATTGCAGGTCTTGCTGATAACTTGCAATACTCTAAATTTCTTAGAGCTTAAATACTGGAAGGAGTGCCTGGGAGTTGAGATCTGT